GGAGATTGAAAAATAGGCTTGTGAGATATCCCTTGGTTGGCTACGTGATTTGGGGAGATATTGGAGAATTAAGTTTTGGCTTTTAGCCAAAACTGAACAGTTTACTCCAAACGATACGCGCTTTTTCGCCCAAGCTACTCCGAATTGAAAACGAATTGTGTTTTTGGAATGAGACTGTCAAAACTAGAATTTTGACGTAATCAAAATATTTTTCTGATAAGTTTTATTTTTCTTAATGTCTGGGTTTGTCTCTGTCATAAATTAATTTTATAATATGATTGAGATATAAATATATGGATTAAATCCAAATGATAAATATGGTGTTGTCAAGTGTCAAAATTATGATTTATAATCTTATTAAATCACCTTTGGATTGAGTTTATTTTATGGGTCAAAGTTACAAATTTTTACTATTTAAAATTGACATAACTTGAAATCTACAAATTAGATTGGTTTATAAAATGTACCGTTGGATTCGTCTCTTCGAGACATATCCATAAATATAACTTTTTAACAAAAAGTCATTATTTTGAAAATCCATTTATTTTTAGTCAAACGTACAAATATTCCTTATTGGATAAAAACTACTTTTATTTTATAATAAATTTTAGGCCATATTTTGTGGCGTTACATACAATCCTTGTGCAAACACTATTCTCGTAGGAAACTTACCGAATTGAAAATAGGCATACTAAAAGAATTATAGTAAGCCCACCCCTTAAAGTTAATTTGAAAGCTTGCCTAGTTTGATTCCCAATGAAAACATTAGTCCATTGTATGTTATTAGGTTGAAAAGTATAAACAATAAAAAAGTAATAGAATTAATAACACTAATAAATTATAGAAAGAAATATTATTACAAAAAACAATTAATTGCAATACAACTAACACAACACTAATACAATGTATTATTTTCATCTGGAAATCTATCACAAGTAGAATAAATCGTGATTCTTTCGAAATAAATTTTCTACAATAATATTAATTGTAATACAACTAACACAGTACTAATAACACAATTGATAGTCTCTCCACATGAAAATGTCACACTCTCTTTACTCATGAAGTCAAGTATGAAGCTTGCCTGAGAATCCAATCATTTTCTTTTAAATAAAAGTTACATGCTACAAAGTATATTAATGGGATAAAAGTAATGCGTTGAAAATATTTTACAAGATAAATTTAATTATTTTTATATCAATATCAAATATGAGTTTTGGATAAATAATGGTCAAATTTTATCAATTTTGACTACAAAAAGTCAAATATGGGACGAAGGTAGACCTAGTAAAATTAAACCAGAACTGATTACTCGAGTTGAATTCTCCGAAACCAAAACCGTAAGCATCCGAAAAGTGAAAATTCAATTCATAACCGAATGCCTGAAATGTTTTGAACCGAAACCGAACTAAAGATATTCATACCCGGTTTAGATATGAAAACGATTAGAACCAAACTGATTGGGCATAAAACTGATAATACCCAAAATCGATTACACTTGAAAGTGATAAGACCCAAAATCAATTATACCCAAAACTTCTAAAACTTGGAACCAATTACGGCTTTTCAGTAAACATATCATAATAAATACTCCCTCCGTCCCTGAAAACCTTTCTCCTTTTTTTTCATCCGTTCCAAAAAACATTTCTTATTTATATTAAAAAGTCACTTTTATCTTTTACTTTTTCATACCCTACCTATCACATCATACTTTTTTTACTAATAATCTAACTATCAAATCTTATTTTTACCCATCACATCAAAGAACATTTTTTGGAAATTTAATACCAAAATATACTCCCCTTAAATCTCTTCAAAAAAAAACATCTCATGTTTTATTGGACGGAGGGAGTATGTGCATAAGTGCACAACTGTCATGCTATTTTAATTTTTATTTTATTTTACAACTTGGGCAAGTTGGTTATATACTTAAATAATTTTTTCGTCCTAATTTCTTTATATAAGGAAAAATTACCCAAAATAATCCCAACTTTACCCGGTCTTTCAAAAATAATCTCACCTTTCACTGTGATGCATAATAATCCCAACTTTATTGAAATTTGCCAGTTTTGGGTCGCCGTTAAGTTTCTAACGGAGGGTTAACGAAAATGCCCGTTTTAGGCAACAAAATGAAAGTTGGGATTATTTTTGATGAAGTTTTGTTTTTTTTTTTGAAATTTTTATTTAAATTTTTTGAATTACTTTCAACCTCAATTTCTTTTTCTTTTTTAAAGATTATTCTTACCTTAGAAAAAAATAGATATAAAAAATAATGAAAATGAGAAAAATAACTAAAACCATACAAAATTAATCAAATAAATAATGTCATCAATAGAAATTAAACAGAAACTAGTAAGAAATAAAATAAATATATACGGAGTGGTGAGTTTTAACATTTTACACACTATACGGAGTCTTAATGTACTACTCCTTCCGTCCCAGAGTATTTGTCTACTTTCATTTTTACATACCATCCAATACACTTCTTTAATCCATTTTATCTTGTAATTTGTATATTAAATAATTATAGAAATTATATATTAATAATCTATATGTTAAGACAAATCAAACAAGATCACACATGACTATATTTAGGCTTACACATTGAGAGAATTTGATGAGTCAAAGTGCTTAGATGAACAATTCCAAAAGTCAAAAGTGGACGAATATAGCGGGACGGAGGGAGTACTTACTTTTTAAAAGAACAAGCCGTCCGGTAAAGTTGGAATTATTTTAGATAATTTTTTCTAAAAAATAAGAAGTGATATGTTAATACTTTGTATAATGCGTAAAATATTAAAACCCACCCGTATATTTTTATTTTACTTTTACCAATTTCAAGTTAGTTTCCATTTATTACCTTATTTATTTTATTATTTTTGTATCATTTTAGTTACATTTCTCATTTTTTCATTTTTTATATCTATTATTTTTATTTTTTAAACTAAGACTAATCTTTAAAAAAGGAAAAAGAAATGACGATGGAGGTAGAAAGTAATTTAAAAAATTTAAATGAAAAATTTAAAAAAAATAAAAAAAATGAAAATTCATTTAAAATAATTTCAACTTTCATTTTGTTGCCTAAAACGGACATTTCCGTTAACCCTCCGTTAGAAACTTAACGGCGACCCAAAACTGGCAAATTTCAGTAAAGTTGGGATTATTATGCATCACAGTGAAAGGTGAGATTATTTTTGAAAGATCGGGTAAAATTGGGATTATTTTAGGTAATTTTTCCTTTATATAACTAAAACTTTTTAATCAAAGTGATACACACTTTAACTTTCAATGTGGGATAGAAAACTTAAAGAAGGTGAATAGAAAGTAGAAATGAGCTTCTGGGCCGAATAGCTGAATTCAGGAAAGAAAAAATAAAGACTAAAAAGTTCAAAACTTCAAATATAAAACAAAAAAAACTTAAAATGCGGGAACCAAGTTAACAAAGAGAGAAAAAACTATATATATATATATATATATATATATATATATATATATATATATATATATATATATATATATATATATATATATATATATATATATATATATATATTGGAAAGAGGTAAAATAATGTGAGATGATAAATTGAAAATTGTTGTGTGACAAAAGAAGAAAACATGAAAATTTCAAATTTATGGAGTAATATAAAAATAATATATTCAAACCGAAATATATTTAAATTGAAATGTATTTGATACCGAAATATATCCAAACTAAAATATAAAACAAAATCTATTTGAACCATAACTAAGTCGATCTAAAACCAAGCTAGAATTGGAAATTTTATTGAAATGAAAATAAACGAACTAAAACAGATTATAACACATATGTAGAAATATTCAAACCGAATTGAATAAATTCGAATTAGAACCGATCTGATTAATCCGGACGGAGGTAGTATAAATATATAGAGTAAATTTAATAATTGGTCCTGTATAAGAGTGTCTTGACTATAATTAGTCTTCTATTATGAAATAGTACGCTGGTGCTCTTTCTTTTATGAGTAATGTTTCGTGAATAAGGTTTCTTGACCTTTTATCATGTTGGTGTTAAATGGAGATTAAAAGTGTAGTTTCACATCAACCCTATGTCTAATTCCTATGTCGACGACAACACAATAATAATGATTATAACTGCAGACTAGAATTTCGATCAGAAACAAGAGACGTACACTATGATTTGAGTAAAAAGAGATTCTAGTTGGCAAACAACACATCAACTGCAACATGCAACTTTGACTATGACAAGAATAATATATTATCATTGTAAAATTATATTTTTAGTTTTCAATTTAACACCTATATGACAGAATGTTAAAAAAGGATAATTCATAAAAATATTTATAAAGGATGAACCGTGTACGTAAAATTCGATAACAGATATCTGGATATAAACTACTCATATTATAAAGGATCAATTTTAGAAATTAGTCAAATTTATACTACTCTCTAATTCTGCAGAGTGATTCAATGGTGGACCTAAAGTCCAAATGGACTTTCTCACATTTTTTTAATTTTAAAAATGTTTATTTGAACAACTGAAAATGCTAATTCAGCATATTTATTGAAAGTCCAACATAGACTTAGGTACATACTCCCTCCGTTATAAAACGTTTTTTCCAATTACTATTTATATAATCAAACTTTAATCAATTTGTTTACCTATTTTCGTTAGTTATTTGATAAAATAATATAGTCTTGTCATTTCTTATTTTGTAAAACTTTTGATGTAGTTTTTAAGTATAAAAATTTTATTTTTTAATTTTATACCTACATTATTTTAAAAGATTGAATTGAAAATAAAATCGGTCAAACCTTGCAAGAGTGCTTCTTTGGTACACCTTTGGATGCATATCAATTTTATAGACCTTCTCATATAAAAATTTTTTTATTTAAAAAATGATTATTTAAGTAGTAAAAGAAATGCTTATTTTGCTTATATTTAGGTCCAAAGTGGACCTTAGGTACACCATAGAATTTGTCTCTTCGTAAAGAGAAACAAGAAGACCATTTCAAGACGACGAGACAAATTCTATAGTGTACCTTAGGTTCATCATTGATCTACATACGAGTAAAATAAGTATTTCCTTACTACTTAAATAAGTATTTGTTTTTTTAAATAAAAAGAATTAAAAAATACTTCTCTTATTACGTTTCTAAATATATCTCACATTTGCTTTTTTCAGCAGTCGCAGAAATTTTTGTTTATTTCTATGTTTTCATTGGTTATTTGATAAAATAAAATATTTTTGACACCTCTAATTTTGAAGAATTTTTCATGTAATTTTTTGATATGTAAATTTTGTTTTTTATTTCTATCCCAATATGTAAATAAAATAAAGTTGGGATATATTATTTTTTAAGTAGTCTGCCCCGCGGCAGTGCCGAACCGGTGAATTTATTCTCTGGACGTCGGGGACGATCAGGTACGCAGCTTGTTTTGAAGAGGGCAGCGTCGTAGACTGGCCGTCGAGGGCTTCACAGAGGGCATCGCCGCGGACGGGAGTGACTGCAAGTGACCTATTCAGTGTGGATCCGCCCCTAGTTAGACCAGAAATTACATGGAGCCACAACCGCCGCCGCCTAGCGAACGGTCGTCACCGCCGCAGCAGCCAGCACCTGCATCACTATCATCCACTCCGCTTCCAGCAGCAGCAGCATCATCATCTCCGGCGAATTTTACCCTAAACCCCTCCACTTCTACTTCCGTGACCCCAACCATACAAATCACCCAACCAAGACCAGCTTTAGAGCCGCCGTCCTCCTTCCATAGTAACCGTCAACAGCCGTCGTCTTTCCCGCAGCACATGGTTCCCCATTCTTCTTCTCCGTTGCCTTCCAGGGATGGACTGGTAATTGGGGTTCCTGCCCCGCAGCCTGGCCCTTCTCCGCCGCTCTCCTCCTTTTCATCATTGTCTCCGCCTTCTTTCGGGCAACAATTCGGGGTTTTGGGTCGTGGAGTGCCAAATTCTCTTCCTACTTCGAGCTCAGCCCAGGTTCTGATTTTCTGTTCTATTGCACAAATGTAAAAGATGAAGAATTAATTAGTCGTAGACTGCATCAATTATGCTGCCTATGTGTTCATATTGTCTGTTGCTTGCTATTTCTATTTAGGGTTGTGCCTTTTTTATGGGTGAGAAATGAGAACTATGTTGATGTAGGACAGTTTTTATTGTTTTGAAATGTTTAGGGGAGACAACCTGTACAAGGGATGCCAGGGATGGGAATTACTGGGTCTCTTGGTTCGAGTATGCAAATGCGACCAGCTGGGGTTCCTACGCAGCCGGTGAGATCTATTACAGCATCACTCAGACAGAATAACCAGTCTCCTTCTCAAGTGAGTTTGACTATATAGATATTTTTTTTTCAGATTTGCCCCTTCTGTATCTATCAGGTTCCGTTTGGCAGCTCACTAGTTCAAGTTCAAATTTAGTTAAAGAGATGGTAGCTACACTTAGGTTTAGTGGTTTCTTTATGCATCAATTGCATTCTTGTTGGTTTGGAAATGACTTTTGTCTGTTTTTCACCACAATGTCTTCTCTAATGAATCCATTTTTGCAGCAATTTTCTTGCCATTTGCTTTTTTTGGTCAATATCTCTTTTACCCAATTTTCCGAAACCTAAATTCCAATTTAAAACTTCTTCAATCATTCCAAATTTTCTATTAGAAGTTCTTTCATACTAGCTATTAGTTTTCAAGGGGGGTTTAGTTCAAATTCCACATTGGTAATGTAAATTGGTTAAATAAATAATGAGTTTGATCGAAAAATTTAATTAATGCGTCGGAGGTAGTTAATGAAAAGCATAGAATCAGTGAGGAATTGCAGCCGCAGGTGTGATTATGGCATACCAATATTTTTAAGCAGCATCCATGAAATTGATTTTATTGTTATTCACATTTGACACTAATAAATCTAACTGGGAATGCCAACCAAGAACCCCCTCAATCTTTCTTTTTCATCATTAAAATTAAATGTCGACGGAGATGCCACAACATGATATCCCATTTACTGTCATCATATTCAATTTGCAAAAAATTGCATACTATTATCCAGATAAAAGTTGGTCATTTGTATACGAACACTAAATTTTAGGATATAAGGTAAAAAACAATTTGACCTTTCATTTTCACTAAAGATATAATCCAATAAATCCCAACTCACTTGGGGTCTAAGGGTCAATTTTCACCAAACACGTTGGAAATATAACAAGGGCATATTTCCTCTAAAGAGCACTTTTCACTCAACCAAATGACCATTTTTTGTGTGGTTATCAAAGTGGAGCACTGGACCTACAAATTTTAGGCACCAAAATGGATGAATCTTTACATGTTCTCCTCGACAAGTTTTTTTGGCACGTCAGCCATTGAGAAGTGTTGTGATATAGAGAGTGTAGTTTTGTAGTGTTGACAACTTAAAGAAAAGTTTAAGTAGATCAAAGATGAGAGATTGTAGGTGTAAAGAGGGACATCATAGCATTTTTCTTAATGAACATATGTTACGTGATAGATAAGAGTGCAAAAAGGAGGAATTTGGTGATTGACCCCTAGAGATTTTGTATTCAGAGCAGGTTTTGGCCCACCTCGTTTGTCAAGGTGTCCGTCCAGACGTTCGTTCCTAGTGGCCCATTAGTCTTTAGCTCAGTTGTCCATATGGAGTATGTGCCCAACGGCCTGTGGCCCATTTAACATGATTGCTCGTCTGGAAGTCCATACCCAGCGGCTCGTGGTCTTTTAAGTGTTGGTGCTAAAAAAAGTTAAGGGAATGGGAGTTCATTTGCAAGTGGTCAACCAGTTAGATTCAAAATGACCCGGTTGTCCACTTGAGGGGAAGTGTTAGAGTGCATTCCACATCGGAAGTCCAAGAGTAAAATAATCGGTATATAAGCTCTTGAGTTGAACTAACTAATCAATTGGATTCAATCTTTTAATGTGGTTCTGTCCAAGTGTCTTATTACCCAATCTAGTTGTTCCCATCCCATCCTAAATTCTATCAATAACCATTTTTCTCTCCTGTATTTACCCTTTGTAGAATTTCCAAGGACATGGCATGTTGAGATCTCCAAACACCCCTAGTACACCGCAAAGTCCACAGTCACAGAATCAAGCATGGTTATCTTCTGGGGCACAAGGCAAACCACCTTTGCCTCATCCTTCCCCGAGGCCTCAACTGAGCACACAGTCTTTACAGCAACGATCTCAAGTTCGTCCACAGCAGCACCATTCTGTCTCTACCAGTCAGTCACAAGAGAATGTGGGGCAGCTAGGTCAATCTCCAAGGATTCAACAACCCATTTCCAATGCACAACCAAATATAAGGAGTCAAAGATTTGGAGTTCAAAGACCTTCATCACAATCAATGCTGCATTCTGCTGCTGCTGCTCAATCTGGACCTCTCAATAAGACTGCTGCAGAGACTGAGGAACCTTGTAATAGGATTCTGAGTAAGAGAAGCATTCAAGAGCTCATGACCCAGGTGAGCAACACACATTTTACTTCTGCCTTCATTTTCAATATTTCCTTGATGTAACAGGCTGTGTTTTTCTTGGAGAGACATGATACCAACTTATTATTATCATTGTTCGAACAGTTACAACTTACAGGCGCTTTTCAACTTGCATTTGTTTTGTTTCCTATTAAATTCAAAATCTTATGAGCATTGAGAGTTTACATGATTACTGTCCTAGTAGTTTAAGAATGCTAGAAACTGAAGCAATTCCAGTTCCCCTGATAATCTTCCCGAAATTTAGTACAACTAATTCCACAGGAATAGTGGTGGAGAGAATGGGAAACAATTATGATCAGAGAAAATATCTTGATGTGATGGTTTTCTATAAAAGGGAGAGGGTATGATAATCATATCTGCATAGATTGAATATGATGAACGTTTAGAGAATAAACTTGTTGCCTTGTTGGTACTATAAATGGGGATCCAAAAATCAATATGTTCTTCAAACAGATTGCTCAATTTGCATATTCTCATTCCACCATTATTGTCTTTATCACCACCCTAATCCCAAGTTGCTGGGGTTGGTGAGATGGTGACATTTAACTTAGTTCCAAATTCCAATGATCTGTTCAAAGTTTATTAACAATTCAATTGATTAAAAAAATAGTGGCAATGCTTTATGTTGGAGATGCTCTTCCAGTCACAAACCTTCAATTGATGATATGGTAAAATAAAAATCTAGAATCATCATCTTCATAGGTTAGTTTTGCATGCATGAAATTTATCATGGGAACGGTATGAGTTAATATACAGAGAATTTTATATGCCATGTCCACTGGCACTGTCACCTTTTTTTTTAACTATGTGATGCATCTAGCCAATATAGTCCACATTACTTACTTTCAAAAGCTATATTTTTAGCATCTTGTCATTGGGTTTTTATATGTTCGTAGCATCTTGTCATTGGTTTTTTTGCTTTAAAACAATTATTTATTGCTTCCATAGCTTTGTTCATTAATCTAGTCCATACAATTGACTGACACTGTAATTGGTAGATTGATCCATCCCAAAAGTTGGATCCTGAGGTTGAAGACATCTTTGTGGATATTGCAGAAGAATTCGTAGAATCTGTAAGTTTTACGTGGAATGACAGTTTGCCTACTTATTGATCTTTCAACTAGGATTGATTTTGGCCAAGACTTTTAGTTTTCAAATATCAAATGAAATTTCGTTTGATTTTCTGCGATTTGTATAATATTCGGATTTTTAGTATAACTTGTGCTGTGTCTGGCTGGCGAATGGGCATCATATCTGTAAAGTTATTTGTGATTCCTGAGCATATTGTATCAGGAACCAACTTACTAAGTACTCCGTATCTTGTTTCTTTACAGTGTCTCATGAACTTCAGTGTCTAGAATTTTCTTTATCCTTTTATGCCCCATATTTTGGTCACAAATTATATGTCACTGGCATGTTAGGCGTGTGGCAGACTCATCCTTGGTAAATGTAAACCCTAATACTCACAATATTTATGCCCCATATTTTGGTCACAAATTATATGTCACTGGCATGTTAGGCGTGTGGCAGACTCATCCTCGGTAAATGTAAACCCTAATACTCACAATATTTATGGTCAGTATTAAATAGAGTCCTAATCTATTAGGAGATTGATATTACAAATCTTAACAATAAATAGAATAGCAATACCAATAGGAAACTTTTACTTAATAATAATAATAATAATAGTAATAATAATAATATGTCCAAATCCTTATATTTTGGTTGTAAATTTGGATTATACTTGTAATTATGAAAACGTAACTGGACAAACTCACAAGCCTTGTTGGGTGATAGCTGTCATTATTTAAATAAAAGAGTTCTTCTATAAGTTTCTCTGGATAGACATGACCAACTTTGCAATGGAAGATTTAATTCATCCATCATAACTAAAAATTGGATAAATATTGCACGATTTGTGACCAACATGCTCTTGTTCAATCAGCCTGTATCTTGAAATGTTTCATTATCCTAGCTCTGTAGTTGCTCACTTCCTATATGGTATGTTGTATCTTTAATTTTTTCCCCTCATATTTGTTCAAACAGCTTACAACCTTTGGTTGCTTGTTGGCAAAACACCGCAAGTCCTCTACATTGGAAGCAAAGGACATCCTTCTACATGCTGGTGAGTTACATTGTCTTCTGTCTTATGTTAGATATTGTATCAGTGGTTACGTTTACAGTGATCAATGCTCAATGCTCAATGCTTAGTTCATGTTTTTGATCAGAAAGGAACTGGAACATTACTCTTCCTGGATTTACTGGGGATGAGATTAGGACATACAAAAAACCTGTAAGAGTGTTTTTTTCTATTACTTCGTAACTTATGGTAGAATCCCTTTAATTTAGTGCTTCATATTCTTAAACTCTTTGCTGTCTTTTGGTTTCCAGCTCACAACTGACATTCATAGAGAACGGCTGGCTGCAGTATGTATTAGTCCCTCTTCTTTTCTTATGGAAAAAGTTAAATAGACATTCAAAAAGGGAATTCTGTTTGAGAATGTTTTTAGTACAAAGATGACATTTATTTGTTAAATACAGAGAATAAGGTGTGACCCCCTCGTCCCCAAAAAAGTCGTTTTTAACAAAAAGCTAATTGACATTATATCCAAGTTTTATTCTAATAAAAAAGTTTCTCAGACATATTAAATACAGAGTATGTTTTCTTTAATTAAACCAACAAATAAATAGTTCTACCTTTCTAAAATAAATACTCTGTAGAAAATTATGGCTGCAATGATTTCAAATAGTTGTACCTTACTAGAATAAAATATTTACTTTGCTAAAACATGATTCGTTTTTTTGGTACGGAGGGAGTGTCTACTTTTTCTGTATTTAGTCTTTGTATGGGGGAAACTCTGAAAATGCCAATAGACCACTCTTTCATGAGCCATATTTCTCTGTTTTTCACTGCTTGGCAGATAAAGAGATCTGCTACAAAGACAACCAATCCAAAGAGCTCATCTGGACAAAGTGGAAATTCAAAGACTCAATTTGCAAAAGGTCCTAGCAATATTTTGACTTCCCCCAATGCAAAGACCTGAAACTGTGTGAAGAACTGCTCTCTGATTAGGGAGGGACTGGCTGTGCACCATCTTAGTTTATGCACACGAGGTTTGATCTTTCTCATGGAGCATATACTTTTGCCTGTCATGCATCTAGTATCATTTGCATCCTTCTTTCATTTTTAAATCATGAAATTGCATAACAGTCCTTTCGCTCGTGAAATCGAAATATTTGGAATGAGAATTATGTTTTTTGTCATCAAACAATGCATCTATTAAAAATTTTTTGTGACAAAATGCATTTCTCCACCACATCAAATGCAGTTTGATGCCAAAGGTTGCTTCTGCTGTAGCGATTATGCTTGAACTCGAACTGCATTTTACGTCATCCGTACCATGTTACTAATAGGAAAACCAGGCGAAGACGTTGATAATCCATACAGTAGATGGGCCAATGAGATTCGTATATGCAAAATGCATAAATGTAAATCTAAGCAATCAAAAGACTGCCCTTTCTATGCCACGCCGTCATTCTTAGCAATGGCGAGTGGCGACAATGCAAGTTTTTTTGCTTCGAGGATTAGAGGCAGGGATGGATGACAGTTAATGGTGTGGAAGATTTCATTTATTTATGTAAAGAAGCATGCTAAGATTTCTAAATCTACAACATTGTTGATTGGCTAGATTTAAGGGATTGTGATTCAACCCTATCCCCACGTTATATGCAGTACCCTCCCCAAAGGGACACCTTTTTTAATTTTAGTAGGATCCATGAATACAACTAAAGAAAACCATTAAATTTAGCTGTATTTCAAATTTAGTAGTTAGTTTAAGAGAATTTAAAACAGTTAAAAGTTGGGTAAATTTCAATAATAGTACCTAGATTTTTATAAAAATTTTGATTTGGTACCTGAACTTCAAAAATTTTCACAAAAGTATATGAACTTTTACTATCTTTTGACTAAAAGTTTCTTTGCCCATTACCAAGTGACAACATGTCATTTTGGGTCAAATTGTTAAGTCCAAATTTTTATTTTTTCACATTGACCTCCATTTTTTTTCTTCTCCTTACACTCTCATAATTTATATTCTTTTTTTGAACCCACTCTTCTTTCTCTCTCTTCTCTTTTTCCACTCTTTTCTTCTATTTTTTTGTTTTTTTCTTTGTTTTTTTTTCTTATTCGCTATTTTTTTTCTTTTTTTGCTTATTTTGTTCTTTTGATCTTTTTTAACTCTTTATTTATTTTTATTCATTTTCACTTTTTATCATTTCTTTCCTTTTTATTTTATTTTTCTTTGTTCTATCCTCTTTTTTTTTATTTTTTCCTTTTTAAAAATGTTTTCGGTGTTTTAGTTATCTCTGTATGTTTTCGTTTGCTATTTTTTTCTTTAGTTCTTTTTTTGAAATTCCTATTTATTATTTATTCTTTTTCTGCATTTTCTCATTTCTCATTTTTTTCTTTGTTTTCTTTTCTCTTTTTGTTTTTCTTTCTTTTATCCTTTATTTATCTGTTTTGTTATTTTGTCCTTTATCTTTTCTGATAAAAATTCTATCGGAGGTGGCTTTAGTTTTGCCTTTCCTCAAGCCTCGGTTTACAATGCCCATATCCACAGATTTCTAACGGACTCTTTCGACATTTTAATATATTTTTATTTCGATAAAAAGAGGACTATATTAGATTTAAAATACTAATTATATATTGAATTCTGAAATTATAATATTAATCTATAATAATATAATATATATATATGAGTGTATGACTAAAAAATTAATATGAGTATATATTTATACATTATATAATATATTAATATATATTTGTATTATTATATAAATATAAAATGTATAAAGATTGAAGAGAGATAATAGAGAGGAAGGGATTGAGAAATGAGAATTTGAGATTTGTACCGTGCGGGACGATATCAGTACCAGTTCCCGGAACCGGATCACCATGCTCGTTGTCGGTGACGGTGGCGGTACCGGCGCCGGTAACGGTGCCGTACTGGTACCGTGTCCACCCCTACAAACGGAGTAGTTTTTTTAATCTTTAATCCAATGAAATGAAAACTTTATGAAGCATATTAGAGAGATTTTTTTTAAATTAAGATATTCCTAATGTTTATGAAAAAAATCCTTCAAAGAGACAATAATCTAAGTTAGAAACTAGGTTTTTATAAAAATAAGTTTTGAAAACTAAAATAAAGTTATGCACCCATCACAGGTATTATATTCAGTTTTAATTTTAAAATTATGAAATATCAGTACCCATCTTTCTCAATTTTTCCTCACGCCACACGGCGGAGACTCCACAACGCTACGACGGTACGCCCCAAATATCAATCGTCCACAGCCCACTCTTCCAGCCAAAGTGTTTTTTTTTGTTTTAAGAAGTTTAATTTATTCTTGGTGATTAATGATGAAAAATTGATAATCTGATTTGAAGTTTATTCAAGTTTTGAGAAATTATTATTTGGAAGAAGTATATTTAGGCATTATGGGGCGATTTTTTTCATTTTTATATTATCGTTAAATATCTGCCACACATCCTGTAATCTACTATGAGTCTGTTTGGAAGTAACGTTAGAGCTTAGCATAATTGCCTCTCAAAGCAATAGTCAAAAATCAAACTCAGTGTAGCCTCTTGGCACTCCATGTCTTTGGTGAATAGTAAATGAAAGAAAGTTGTCCAAAGGTGAAAATAGTGTAAAAAGTAGGTGTAAAATATTCTCTTAGTTGTAAGAAAACGAATATTACCACCGCCCTTGATTATTTGTCCAGTTTTGATTTTTTTCGGCCAATTGTTTTCAACTTTTGACTTATAATTAAATAAAATATATATTGTACATTAATTACATAAAATAATATGTGATATAATAAATATAATAAAACTATTTTGTATCAATATTTAATACTCTCTCCGTCCCAAAAAGATTTACACCTTTCAAAAAAATTGTGTTCCACAATCTCCTACTCATTTCTATTAAAAAACCACTTTACCTCTTACTTTTTCAAACTCTACCTATCACATCATACCTTTTTTCTAATAATCTACACATCACATCCTACTTTTACCCATCACATCAAGGGTACTTTTGGAAAGTCAACACAAAATTATCCCTCCCTTAATTTCAACTTTAGTCAAAACATATAAATCTTTTTGGGACGGAGGTAGTGTTATTTCTATTTAATTTGAGGTCAAATTAAAATTTATTAATTTTGACTAAAAAGTTAAAAGTGGATAAATACTCAGGGACGAGAGAGTAAGTAGTATTTAGGGTATTTTCATTTAGGTAGTGTTTGAGAAATTAGATTTCATTTGATGGTTTGAATTTCTATTAGAAAATTTAAATTCTTAAATTTTAAATCACAAAGCAAATATGTATTTGTAATTGAGTTTTACTATGAAATAAATTTTTTAGATTTTCAAATATGAAATTTAAGTCAATTCTAAATTTAATTTCAATTCAAGTTCCTAAAATGGCATTAATAAGAAAAAGATATAAAATCATTCAAAAAATAAACGACAATGATGAATTTTTAAACACCGGCTTTGAATCGGGGCGAAGAATACTATCAGAATAATTAGAATACTAATAATTCCTCCTAATACATCCTCTGTCACTAGAGGTGTTCAAGATTATCCGACCTGAAAAATCCATCCATGATCCGGTCTGATGCGATATTTTTCATTTTCGGATATTCGACCGCGTATTCGAAAATTGGATCAAGTATGAATTCAAATTTTAGATTTTTTTGGATATTCAGATATGAAATTATTCGAAGTACTTTTTTAAAAAAATATTTTACTTTTACCCACTAACCCTAATTTCCGTCCATTTTGCTGCCTCAGACTTAATTCTTTTTCGTTTCAAACTTCATTTGGACATAGAGACAGTAGACTGCAATCTTTTACGGCAATCATTCGAACTTCATTCAGTCATCTCTCTTGGCCAGATCACAGAGATGAATACGAGAAATTTCTCAGTCTCTCTACTCGACAACTTCGAGTGATCTTTCTCTCTTTGGCGACTTAGAGATGGACACGAACACATCTGCTTTTACCAAATCTATGTTGAATTTGGTAGCAATTGTGGATTGATTTTGTCAATTTTCCTTTTTTTTGTAAATTTTGGCTAAACAATTAAACGTTTTCGGATATTTAATTGATCTAATCTGAAAATTCAGATATCCAAATATTTTCTGATCGGATATGGAATGAGTTTTACTTGATCCTAAACTTTTGGATATCCGATATATTATGGACCGGATTGGATCAATTCGGTTGAACACCCCTATCTGTCACTATTAACGTGGTTGATGGGGACTTGTCTCTCATCAATCACGTTATTTACATACAGAGTATTATTTATTCCCATCATTTTTGATGTTAATACATATATCTAACTACAGTGGGTATATTGGGACTCTTATGGGTGTTGCTAAATCCACCTTTTTACTAAATTCACACCTTTTTATCTAAAATAGACAAATTTATCTTAAAGTGTAAAAAACATGGAAATGTAACATGTAAACTAACTTAAAGTTAGACATTCATTGTAAAGGGAGTGGAGTAAGCAATTAAGTTTGTAAGTGTTTAATTCTATTGTTACTCCCATCGTCCTAAACGAAATTATGTTTTATTATTATTCACATAGTAAAATTTTATTCGTTTGCTTATTTTTGTTACTTATTTGATAAAATAATATAATAATGTCATCTCTTCTGTTTTTAAACTTTTGATATAATTTGTAAATATATAAATTTATTTTTAAATTCTACTAATTTTAAAATAATTTAACAATGTTATCCTTAAAAACAAATATTGTAAACCGAGACAAATAATTTAATTTGGGACAAAGTATAGTTTTTGGGTACATATTTTTTTAGGGAGGGTAAAAAGTTTTAAATTTTAAATTCCATATAAACTTTCAAAGTATGAAATCTTAAGGAAGTTCTTCTTAGAGACGGTCCTCGGTCAATCATCACTATAGCTGTATTCCGAATCTGCTCCCGACTGCCACAACGACCATTCCCGTGACGTCACCCCATCTAAATATAGCCCTATTTATTTACGGAGTAAATTATACCCTGAAATATTCTCATAAATAATACGGAGTAATCATCATCATCATGCATCATCATCATCATCAGTATTCTATATATATTCATGATGATGCCACTATATTTATGTGTATGTCGTCTTTACAGCTCCAAGCCGCCTTCTATGCTTACACATCCATAATGATTGCGCTGCCAGCCGACAAATTAGAAAAACAAAAAGGATATACGGAGTAATAAATATAATCCACATTTCTGAAGCCATCACAGACTCGATCAGACAGTCATTAAAAATTTGGTACTTGCAGAGATTTCATATTTACTATAGTTGTCTCTTTGTGCAATTGTTAATTGATTTTGAGGTCAGAATTATAAACTTTAAAATTAATTATGCTTACGGGATGTAATTGACGTAGGTGGGGGATGGGATGAGGTTGGGATTGGACAGGGGGTTTACTGGGGGAGTTGGAAGGGTAGGAATCATCCATTTTATGAACGGAGTATCGTCGGGAGACAGTGGCTACTGTGGCCACTTAAATCTAAAGGTGGCAATCGGGTCAACCGGATTGGTTTTGGTTTGGATTTTTTCGGTTCAGATATCTTTCGGATATATGTTATAATCGGTTTGGTTCGGTTCGGATCGGTTTAATTTCGGTTCGGATTTGATTCGGTTCTATACATTTTTCAGTTCGGTTCGGTTTCGAGTCGGTTCAGATACGATTCGGTTATAAATTGGTTTGGATAGATTTCAGTTCGGATACAATTTGAATCGGATATATTTCGGTTTCGGTTCTAGTTCGGTTCGGATATATTTTGGTTTCGGATCAAATATATATTGGATATATATTCTTTTCTAATTAAAATTTTATTATCCATGTTTCTTTTTATGTTTTATCATATTTATCATCAATTCAATACCTCATATTATTTTATTTTTTTTCTAATTATATTATCTCTACCCTAAACAATCTTTCCGTTTGATTTTTTAGTCATATTTTACAAATTTGGACTATAAATTATGAAAAAATATATATTTAATTATGATATATATTTAATATAATTAAATTGATTTTAAAATTTAGTTTTGATATATCAAATTTTTCTCACATCTACTAATGAATTTATGTTTATAATTGAAAAGATAAAAGATAAATTCATATAGTGTGATGTTCCATTTTAATACAATTTGGTAAAAATTGAGTGATATTGGGTGAAATTAAGTGAATTTTATTTAATTGAGTGTAAAATTTATAAATTATTTAAGTATATTTGGTTGAAATAAGATAAAATTAAATTTAATAGAGTCAAATATAATTAATTTTACACCTAAATCTAATAGTGTTGATCAAATTTGAAAATGATAACACTAAATGCTGGCGCTAGAGAGTTTTTTCAAAATGCTAACACTAACATATAATGTTAATGACTAATATTGAGTGAATTGGTTTGAAACTAATCAAATTAACTCTCAAACCAATATAATTTATTGTAATTGGATGAAATTAGGATAAAATCTAGTTATTCCATACAATTCATCATATAATCCTTTCGTCCCAAAAAGAATATCACAGTTCACTATTTAAAAATTACGGAAATTTTTTTGTTTGTGCGTTATCATTTATATGTATAACTTATCTTCAATTTCTAAATATAATAAATTTAAGTCATGAAATTTTGTACTTTTTTCAAGATGATAATCCATTTTATGAGGGAATAAGCAAGTAATTTAATTAGTTCAAACGGTAAAATAAAAGTAAAATTTTAAAAATATAATATGCTTATTGAAAGGCAAACATGGTTCCGAATTTATCGGTTTTAGTTCTAATCGGGTTCGGATATTATCGGTTTTGGATCTAATCGGTTTCGGGTATTATCGATCTCGGGTATTATCAGTTTCGGATCTATTCGGTTTCGGGTTTAATCGGTTCGGATATTATTGGTTTCGGATTTAAACCGAATATGAATTATTTAGTTCAGTTTTAGTTCAATTCGGATCATTTTGGGTTTTCGGTTATAGATCGGATATTCAGTGGCCAGTGAGCCCAGCCGATTTTAAATAGAGAGAGTAAATATAAGATCATCTCCAACTCACCTTCTATTTTTCGTTCTAATTTCTAAATGCTATTCCCTCCATTTAAAAATTATATTTTTGTTTACTATTCACATGGTTAAAATGTTTTTTATTTTTTTGGCTTGTTTTCGTTACCCATTGGATAAAATAATATAATAATGTTATTTCTAGTTTTGTACTCCGTAGCTTTTTAATATGTACTTTTTTTTTAAAATTTCACATCTTTTCTCATATAAAATGATTTAAAAATAACTTTTGTCAAAAATTGTAACACGCAACGGGAAGATAATTTTTAGACGGAAGGAGTATTTTAATTTCTCAATCGTGTTTAGTAACCCTATTTTTTTACACCCACTCCAACTTTATCATCTACTCCCATAAAGACCTTGTGGTGCAATGATTACAAGGTTACTCTTCCAAATTGGAAAATCACATGTTCAATTCTAAGTGTAGCCATAATTCGACAATGAAAAATGCTTGGGGTGTACCCCATTTGTTCCCCACCCCCTCCATTACCACAAAAATGGGCAAAAATTTAAAAAAAAAATTAAATAAATAAAAAGTAGATAAAAATGAATGGTGGAGAAGGGGGTGGGGGACAAATGAGGTACACATTTGGTGTACCCTAGCATGGCTCTTCGACAATAGGTTGAAAAAAATGTATTGTAATTGTAATAAAGTTACCAGTGGTCAAAAAAATACATCTAATAGCTTTCCATGATAAATTACTATTTTTAAAGTACACCCATTTTTTTAAGAGACACGGTTCACGGAACCATTTGATTTTTTTTTATTAAATAAAGTGTTAGTTTATAATTTATACTCGGTATTTTAGAATGGACAAAAAAGAAAATGTTAAAAATTACTTCGAACACAAACAAAAGAAGAAACGAAAAAAGGGACCTAAAGAAATAAAGTGAGCCACATCTGTTTGTCCAAAAATAGCAAGTAGAACTATTTATGGGATGAAAGAAATAAAAGAAAATGTAATGTAATAGGCAAAAAAACAATGGGAAATGTTAGGGTATGCTAAAATGGAGTATCATATTTGTATATCAGGTGAACACTAACACTTAGTGTTTGCGTATCACAAATACTAAGTGTCTGTGGATCACAAACACTAAATGTGTGTGTTTGTCTGGTCCACGAATGGGGTACCCCAGTTCGATTTACAAAATTTGACTGAAATTATTTTCAATTCAATTTATATGATTATAGGTGTAAAATTAAGAAATAAAAATTATATATTTTTAGACTACATTAAAAATTCTACAAAACAAGAGGTGACATGACTATATTATTTTACTTCCTCCGTCCCAAATTATTTGCCACGTTTGCTTTTTCAGCAGTCGCAGGAACTTTTGTTTATTTCTACGTTTTCATTGGTTATTTGATAAAATAAAATATTCTCGACATCTCTTATTTCGAAGAACTTTTCATGTACTACCTCCGTTTCTCAAAAGAGTTCCTCTTTTGACTTTGGGGGAAAATAAGAAAGTGTTAAATTGTAGTTGACTTTCCAATTTTGCCCTTGATGTGATGGGTAAAAGTAAGATGTGATAGTTTAGTTGTTAGTGAAAAAGTATGATGTGATAGGTAGGGTATGAAAAAAGTAGGGGTAAAAGTGGTTTTTTAATAGAAATGGGAAGTGTTTTAAGAAAAACAAAAAAAATGAAAGAGGAAGGGTTTTAAGAAACGGAGGGAGTAGTTTTTTGATATGTAAATTTTATTTTTATTTCTATACCAATATGTAAATAAAATGAATTGAAAAAATTTAATATTTTGCCTCGGGAATACAAATAACTAATGAAAAATAGGTAAAGAAAGTGATTAAAGTTTGACAATGAGAATAGTGGCTAGAATGGCCATTTTGGGTTAGATCAGATCATATCAGAATTGAATGGTTTTGGGTTAAAAGACAACATGGCTGTAGTAAAACCAAACCGAATGGTTTTGGTCATAAAATCAAACTGTACTGATCAAACAGTTCAAAGACTAATGGTATGGTACAGGTTTTATGAAAGAAATATTTGCACTAAATAGCACTAACACTTAAGTCATTTCTCTAAATAGCACTTAGATTGTTTTCTTCTCTAAATAGCACTCTATAATATCCATAATGACCAGTGATGGCAAACATTCACTTGAATAATGACTAATGGATAATGACTAAAACTGCTACATTGAGAAAAAAACATATGTAGTGTTATTTAGGGAAAGTCATTATGTTTTAGTGCTATTTAGGTAAATTCCCCCCTTTATGAAAATCTCAAAGCATCACGGATTGTGTCTACCCCTAATGATGAAATTTAGGATGTGGTAAGGATAACTGGATTAGGTGTCTTGGGCTGAACTACATTAAAAGATTGAACCGAATTGATTAGTTAATTCAACTCAATAGCTTATATATCGATTATTTTACTCTTGTACTTTCGATGTGAGATGACACTCTCTAACACTCTCCCTCAAGTGGACAATCGGGTCCTTTTGAATGTAACCAGTTGACCACTTGCAAATAGACGCTCTTCCCTTTTCTTTTTGAACGCCAATACCTAAAGGACCACAAGCCGCTGGGTATGAACTTTCAGACGAACAATCATTTTAACAGGCCACGGGCCGTTGGGTACAAACTTCATACGGTGGGGCTAAAGACTAACGGGCCGTCAGGAACGAATGTCTAGACGACGAACACCTTGACAAACGAGGTGAGCCAAAACTTTCTCCGATACCATGTTAAAATTCCCGTGGATCGAGAACAACGGGTAGAGTGTTAGATAAAATTAATCACTTGCGCATTAAGTCAGGATCTACTATTCTAACTCAAAAGCCTCAGCTCTCTATATATGCTAGCGATATTCTTCTTTATTTCCCGATGTGGGAACTCCAACACCTAATTTCGTCTGAAAACATTTCCATATATTTTCTTTAAATGCAAAATTCCCAACTGCACTATGCATGCCTGCCTGCCTGCCGCGTGGACTCCACAAATATGCATTATCTGTCTTTCCAAAGCTAAGATTTGCTCCCTCTGATGCGATCACTCTCCCTCTACTACTTCCTATATATATACACACACTCCGGCCCCTCCCCTTTAAATTGACAAACTCCATTTCTTCTCCACACTACTACTACTATACACCGACCTCTTCTCTTCTATATATTTGCTAGCTTGCAACTAACTAAGAAGAAAGTTGTAAGATCGAGACAAAGAGACTTCTTCTTCCAAAGGTAATTATTAATCAACTTTTTTTTTACTTGAACACTAATTTGAATTTTCCTTTTCTTTCTTTCTTTTATATGAAAACAATCATCATATCATTTTCTTCTCAGCTTCTTTAATTTTTTTTGACAAGAAAAAAGGTGGTATATATATATATATATATATATATATATATGTTCTTTAATACATGTATGTATATATATTATATATGTATACAGATAGATAGATAGATAGAAGTGCGTGCAGTGGGTGGATGATGGAGAGGATAAACACAAAGTTGTACTTGGAGAACTGCTACATAATGGCGGAGAACGAGAGGCTGAGGAAGAAAGCGGAGGTTCTGAACCAGGAAAACCGGGCCCTTCTCAACCAGCTCAAGAACCGCCTCTCCCCACAACCCCCCGCCGCCGCCGCCATGACGAACAAAAACAAGAACAAGAACGCTTCCATTCCGGACCTCAATCTCGCCGCCGCCGCCGCCTTCTCCGACGCTGCTGCTTCGTCCTCGTCTTCCAAGTCGTCGTTCAAGAATTAATAATAATAATGTATGACTAGCTAACTGCTGCATTTCTAGCTAGCTAGCTGGTGATGGATGATGATGATGAGGATCTTATGCAGATTATATTAAAGATGTTTTTTTTTTGTTTGTGTGTGTTTTCATGTGGTGCATGTAATGTTGCTAGCTGTGTTTGGGGTTGGAAAATACCAAGTATAATTATTCTATGATAATTAATGATGAAATTGGTGATGAAAGCATATATGCAGAAGGAGAATTCATCAATTAAGGATATGTTTTACTCCATTTTCTTTTATGATGGACTAGGTAGCTAGCTAGGGCGCTAGGCTAATACGCAGGTAACGCAGGTGAGTAATAAAAAAAGATGAACTCCATCCCCATACCCCAAACGTTCCTCTCTTTGTGCTCTGTAAATAAAACATGGACTTAGAGAAGATATAAATAATCGCGATTGAAATGGGAAGTCGCAAAATAATTGAAGCGACTAAAACCATGCGACGAAATCGAAGTTACAAAATTTCCGATTCATATTTACGAAAAAATCGATGCGACGAAATAAGATTTTCAAAATCGACGATCTTCTACGATTGTGCGATTCCACGATCCAGATTTGCGATTCTTCCGACCCAAAGATATTTTGCGATTTTGAGGGCGAGTTGGATTGGAAACCTCTTGGCGATCGGAAACTTTCTTCCGATGTATGTATGTGTGTATGTATGTGTGTGTGTGTATGTATGTATGTATGTATGTATGCATGCATATATGTACGTACGTACGTATGTATGTATGTGTGTGTATATATATGTATGTATGCATCTGTATATAGCGTCACTACAAGAAAAATAGAGTTTAGCCGCATTTAATTTGCCACACTTGACTAAGTGTGGCAATAAAATTTAACACTTAAAGATTCCCCACATTTATAAGAGTTGTTATACATAATTCCATGTATCTACATAATTAAGTGTGCCAAATGAATTATATATACTTAATTTAAGAAAGTGCATTTAACTTATTAATTAAAATAATTACTCACGCATCAAAATATCATGTCCCGCTTCTTCTAATTCAGTAAAAAAAACTAATCGCGCCTAACTTTTCATCCTCAGCTCCATTCCGCCCGCCTAATTCTTCATCTCCTAAAACAAACAAGATCTGTAAACCTAATCTCGTTCTAGTTCTACTCTCCGGCGCACAGTTAACCTATTCAGTCGCACCTTTCTGCTCTCATCTCGTTCTACTCTCCTACGCACATCTCCGTCGGCCTGCATCTTTCTGGCGAAATCTCTCTGGCGCACATCTGAATTAGGTATCGGCCAGCATATTCAGGCTGCATCAGTACTCCATCTTACCATTCAATTCGTTCGGCCTGCGATTCATTCAGGTATTTATTTTCTTTTATGATTAATTTTTCTTCTAATTGATTAATGCCTGAAATTCGAAACCAGGAAATACATGTGCGTGTGTCTGCATATAATTTGTGGATGATGTAACTTTATGCTTTTAGAATTAGAGAGATGTTTCAATAAAATTCATTACCAGTGTGCATAGAGAGGGAGATTTTGGGTTCCTGTTATTTCAGCTATGTTAAATACCAGTGTGCATAGAGAGGGAGAACGGATGTCTAAGGCTATTTTAGTGAGTAAGGCTGGTGTGTATGGGTTTTCTGTATTAAATATTAATCGAAAACACCGGCCTTATCGTTTCAGTAGTCCTTCGTTCCTCATTATCTTAGCAATAGTTTGGACTTATCGTTTCAGTTAGGTATTTATTTTCTTTGATGTATGATCTGGAAAAGGGACTAGAATTTTATTAAACCCAAGGATAAATTTCGTGACATACGCTTTAAGCATCAAAAGCAAAGCTTAAAAAAGAAACCCTTACTGTCGTTTTAATCACAGGTTCATGTGTATAGATACACCCCTTCTACACTCCCTTTACAAGCCTTAAAAAAACATGTCAATTGTAAATAACTAGAACCCAAATGCCTGCCCAAAAAGAATCCCTGCCAGGGAACTGAGAAAGTTGTTCCATCCCTGCACCTAAATGACACAGTTAGTGGAATTAGACATTGTCCTCCATAAGGTCTCAACACACCATTGTTATTTTGAGTAGGAAACATTGTCTCTAAACAAACAACATCACAGTTAATGTTTTGAAAAAGTTCTAAAGAATTCTAGCATCTGTGATACAAATGAATTTCCTAATAAATCACACTCTGTATACATAAGGATTTCATTGACGCAAAGGGGTTTGAGAAAACTTGACTTGGATCCCCATGGCTTATTGCCATGAATGAGTTATGTTGAAGTTCCATGAGAGTTTCTGAGCTAGGTATTAATAAGAACAAATAGTTTTTGTTTATAGTCATAGGCCCTTCACTGAGAAACCGTGATCCAAAACATAGTTGATTGTTGCACCCAACAACGACAAATCTATATAATTCGAACTCTGTTAGGTTATGGGGTCAAGATGTAGTCTGTTATCCCTGTAAAAAAGCAAGAAGACATACTCTTATTGCTGGATTTACTATTCAAAATTTCATTGAAGGTGAGAAACAAGCGATGTTTAATAATTTTAAGTACACCCTCTGTCTCCAAATGAACTTTAGAGGTACTGTTATCCTCTTTCCTTACATATTTTTGTCATTGTCAATTTTTAAGCAAAACAGTCAAGTTACATATTGTTTTGTAGAACTTTTGTTGTAGTTTAAACATATGCTTATTTTTTCAATAAAGATTTGCTATCCATGGGTCAAGTTTATTTAGGGGCGAAGAGAGTATGTCTTAATCTCCTGATTGATTGACATCTCTTCTCTTATACAGAGGGGATCAATAAATGTTGTTCCTACATTTTTCTTAATTTGTTTAACATAGAAATAAAGACTCTGGCACTGTTTTAAATGCTATCATGCTGCGAAACTGATTTTCAATTTTCTGCATATAAAAAGTTTTAGAAAGTATTAGATAAACACAAGTATTTTGTTTTTTATGCTTCCCCAGATATACGGCAGTGTATATATTGGTGTGGTCACCACCTTCATCTAGAGTCTTTACAAAGAACGTAATGCGTGCATGATTTTTTATACGTTGGACAATGATTTTAAAATATATGATGTTTAAAGTGCGATGGTAAATATGTATTATGTAGTAGTGTACCTCTAATTTATTATCATCTTAGTATAAATGTAACATACATGGTTTATTCATTTATATTTTTATTTTTTAGGTTATAACATTGTTTGAAATGGATAAGAGTTGGATTAATATGAATAGAACATCGACACAATATATAGGTGGTGTTCAAGCGTTCCTCAATTTTGCTTTTGCAAATGCTCCAAACAGTAATGTGATTGTTTGCCCTTGCAATCGTTGTAAAATTGGGCGTAATCGCTATTTTAATAGAGATGAAGTGACAGAACACCTCATGTTTAATGAGTTTTGGCCTAAGTACACAAAATGGGTGCATCATGGGGAACCAATTTCGACTATAATGGGTATTCGTAATCTTTGATGTGTCTATTTATACTTGCGTACCAATTTTTTTGTTTAATTTTTATGTGATAGAGATTTAATTCAAATATGCTGTTTGGACTTTGCAGATGTCAAGCAAAGATAACACAAGAAAAGATGGTAAATCTTTCTTGTAAATTGAAGTCAGAGCTATGTATAAGATATATAGTAGATCAAAGATAAATCGATTTGGCATGGCATGGCTGACTTGGCAGGGCTTGTGGGAATTTGATGAAGACACTATTGTTAGAGAGCATATCATATAACAATATAATGACTCTATTGCATTTCTTTTTAATTTTTTTGGAACTCATTATTAGAGGATCAATTGATGTTGGAACTCACTATTTATTTTGACACTAGATTTTTGATACTCCCTTTGGAATTATAATTTGATGATGGCTTAGTTTTTGTATTTCCATGATTTTCAAATTGAGTTAATTTAAAATTTAGTTGCCTTGAGTTTATATATATATATATATATATATATATATATATATATATATATATATATATATATATATATATATATAAATGTTTGAAAAACCCCGCCAAAGTTGATAAAATTTTCAAACGTCAACACTAATCGGTGTGTATAAATACACGTATGACATAAAAATAAAAAAAGGTTTGTTAATTTTAACGGCGTAAATGTACACGCCCATGCAACCTTTGTGAATGTTTACACCGTTTGCTTTTATAATCGTTGTGAATATTCACACGAATTACATCATTAAACGGTGTGAATAAAATACACACAGAAAATTTTCCCCACATTCCCCGCCACCACACTTAGCACATGTGTGGCGAACACTTTTTCCCGCACTTATATGTGTTGCGAATAACAAGTTTAAGTGTGGCAAAAGCCGCATTTTCTTGTAGTGCGTTGTTCTGAACTCATGTTTTGGACAAAATAGATCAGATGCTTGATCCATCAACCAACTAGATCCCTATAAACCATTGGCTATCCAAAAGGAGTTATGGACCCACGGGCCAACATTAGATCGGGAGGAATTCAGGGCCGAGAGTGTGGTGAGATCGAAGTAAAAAGACAAATGGGTTAGAAATTACATTGAAGGCCAGGGGTCAACATAGAGCAAACCCTATGGGATTCAAAACGTCCAGCTCTGGATGATGGCTTGGCCACCTTATCCTTGTTGCGCTTATCTTGTAACTTAGATCAGCGGCATGACATGAACATCCCAAGCCGAGGGGAAGGGGTAGGTAATAAGTTGTTGAGGCGGGAGAAGGAAAAAGACAAGCTGCATGAAAACCGGGAGGCGAGTAGGTCCCGAGCCCCTCTCACCAAGGACTCGATCCAAGCACTCTGTGATATATAGTATGACCGCAGTCTAGTTCGATTTCGTTCCCCCGCGAAGCATTCATAACTAAAAGGACCTAGCAACCAAATTCAACAAATAATTCACAGACCATGCCTTTTAGGCAGATGAATTGTGAGTCCTGCTTGGCGATGCTCACTGCCATCCTTCAGAAAGGCCCATTCTGTGCCGACGTGACTACCCATTCAGTTGATTCTTTTAAGAAGGTCGTGCCTCAGGCGGATAGATACATTGCCTTGGAAGAAAGTGAATAAAATTCGACCACGTGAAGAGATAAACAGCATAGTATAATTATTACGAAGGATTTTTTTTAATTTAAAATATTGATACTTTCCCCAAGTCAATTTAAATTAACAAAATATTCATAAGTTTTGGATCATAATGTTGTGTCATGTAAATTAATAAAAAAATCCCCAATAAAATTATACTCTGTATTATTTATACTAAAAATGAAAGAGAATAATAATAATGAGTGTGTATCACAAAAAATAGTTACATGGGAAAAATAAAAATTGAAAATCTAAATACTCCCTCCGTCCCACTATATTTGTCCACTTTCATTTTTGCACACCATCCAATGCCCTTCTTTAATTCATTTTATCTTGTAATTTATATATTAAAAATTAAAATTATAGAAATTATATATTAATAATCTATATGTTAAAACAAATCAAACAAGATCACACATGACTATATTTAGGCTTACACATTGAGAGAATTTGATGAGTCAAAGTGCTTAGATGAACAATTCCAAAAGTCAAAAGTGGACAAATATAACGGGACGGAGGTAGTAATTTATAAATTATAGTTATGAACATTGTAGTAGTAGTAGTAGTAGTAATAGTAGTAGTAGTAGTAGTACTAATAATAATAATAATAATAATAATAATAATAATAATAATAATAATAATAATAATAATAATAATAATAATAATAATAATAATAATAATAATAATAATAATAATAATAATAATAATAATAACAACATATCATTTTTAGATCCATTATTTGGTGAGTAGAAAAAATTGAAGAAAATAGGAATACTTGCAAAACTAGGAAGAAACTGGAAAAAACTAGAAAGAACTGGAAAAAACAAGAAAAACTGAAAGAAATTGGAAAAACTAGAAAACAAACTAAAGAAATGAAAGAAACTACTCCCTCTGTCCATATTTTGATTACAAATAGGAATTACGAGGTAAAATCCCACGATTTTTGAAATCAATTTACAAATTGGTACATCAATAAGAAATAAAAATTACTTGTTAAAAAGCTATACAAAAATTCTACAAAATAAAATGTGACAAGAATGTTTTATTGTATCAAATAATCAATGGAAAAACAAAAAAAAACAAATACTCCGTAAAAATTATCAAGAAGAGAGAGAAAATAGAATTCTAATCAAAATGGGGACGGAAGGAGTAGAAGTTAAGAGTTTAAGCTCTAAAGAACAAATTTTAGTTAAGACACGAGGGTGTAGGTGTACGTTTTAAAAGTTATTTCAAAATTGATGGGTTAATTACTAATTAGTGGCCTTCAATCCTAGAAGTTGCAATTGTATCGATTTCGGTTTGAAATAATTCGATTCGAATGGGTTCAGTTCAATTTTGGTTTTGATTTAATTTAGTTCCATACAATTTTCAATTCCGATTCAGTTCCGGGTCAGTTCACATACGATTCGAGTATCAATCGGGTTGGATCAATTTAGTTTTGGATACTTTCAGTTCAGATATATTTTGTTCTGTATAGTTCGAGTATTTTTTGCATTGGTTTCGAATAAATTTGCATATATGCTATTTTCAAATTAAAAATTAATTACCGTTCATTTTTTTTGATATCGCATTTATTAATTTGTCATCAATTCATCACCTCATGTTATTTTATATTTTTTTAAACTATACGACTCCTTCCGCCCTAAATATCTTCCATTTGTATCTTTTTAGTCATATTTTACAAATTTAGATTACAAATTATGAAATAAAAATATATTTAGTTCTGATATAAAATTAATAGAATTAGATTACCAAATCACGTACCATTTGGTTAAAATATGTTGAAATTGAAAGCAGTTAGGTAAAATTTGAGTGAAATTAAATGCAATTCAAAGCACGTGTTTAGCCGACCAGACAATATTGAGAGGGGGTGAAAAGATATGAGATTTTGCATTTTGTTTTGATATGATAATTCATTTTGGGACATAGATAATAAGTAATATAAGTATATAACTAGTTCAAATGGTAAAATAAATGTAAAAAATTTGAAATCACATGAATGTAAGTGTTCACTAATGTACATAATAAATATAACACTCCTTCGTCCCTTAAAAAATTTCAACTTTCACTTCTTAGTCGTCCTATAAAACATTTCAATTTTGCCCAAATGGACACAATTGCCCTTACTTTTCTTACATATAACCAAACCTACATCAACCATCTTCTACATTCTACCCATTTTGACTTATCGTCGTTTCGCCTTGGTCAAACTTCTATATCTTCTCCTCTCAAAAGTCAAAACTGGAAAAGTGTTCTAAGGCGGAGGGAGTATGTTTATTGTTAGGTGGAATCAATTTCGGATATAATCGATTTTGGATCTTATCTTTTGGGTCTTATCGGTTTTGAATCTTGTTGGTTTCAAGTCTTACTGGTTTCGGATTTAATGAGTTTCAAGTTTAATCGGTTTCGGATATAATCAGTTGGAACTAATCGGTTTCGAATTTAAACCGAGCATGAATATATTTATTTTGGTTTCGGTCCAATTTGGATCATTTTGATTATTCAGTTATAAATCAGATCTTCACTTTTCAGATCATTTCTATTTCAGTTTCGGATCATTCGATTCGAGTAATCGATTCCGATTCTGTTTTTCGAGCTCTATTCAATCCATTGCTCTACGGGTCACTAACTAAATTCATGGAAGGGAGTATGCAGTTGTAGAAAGTCAACCAAAACTTAAAAGGAGATATGAGAGGCAATGATGACTGCGAGTGACCTTTAGAAGACCAAAGAAGAAGAAACTTGAGCTCTGAACTGGAATAAGCATTATTTAATTAAAATGTTTTACTATACTCCTAAAAAAACACTACCCAGAATATAATTTGTCATGTCTTGAACTCTTTTTTTTTTAATTTCTTTTTTTGGCTCCCAAATATGAAATTATTGGATTCTCTGCTTAGCTCATCAATTGATTCATAATAATAATAATAATAGTAAGCATATATCATCATTTTGGATGAGATAGGGATGACTTTGGAGACACCCTAAAGGATCTTGCCCATCAGAAACTGTATCTATTAGAAATCATTAATTATACATCTCTACTTCCCAACAGAATAAAAAAAAACATCCCTTAGCTTGTTTCAGAAAATGTAATTATGAATGTTGTAAGTATGGTGAGGTAAGGGGTAAGGGTCTGCAAATGATTATTGAACGGGTAAAATTAAAGGTTTCAAGGAGAGGGCGGGAGGGAGGGGATATGTTTCTTTCCTGTCAAATGTCAAGTGGTGAATTGGATTTCAACCTTGTAATACATTATTCTTGTACATCATTTCCCTCACATCCCCATCTTCTTTAATCATTATTGGGAGTTTTTCCTTTTCTCCTTTTCGTATAATACTCCCACCCACCCCTAGATATTGCTAAACCATCTAAGAGAATGATTCACGAGCCGTACGATGCCCCGTTCGTAAAATTGGCGATTCTTATCTGCTGATAAAAAACTCTCACTCCACCCACTCTGAACCCACCGTCCCGCCCCCTTCGATTACATCCCCCAAGTTTAATTGACTTTGGAGTTAAAATTTTGACTCCAAAATCAATTTAACTTGGGGGATGTAATTCGAGGAAGGGGGGAGGGAGTAGGAGGCTTTACCGGGGATCAAGAGGGATAGGAACAATCAGTTGTACATACGAAGCATTGTGCGGCTACCAAGTTATCCTATGACATTGCTTGGCAATGACAAGGTAAATTGCCCACAATAAAAATTACGGAGTATTTGTTTCATAAAAATTATTACTT